TATATATATACATACCTGTCAAATCTGACGCTGCCTCAAAGTAAAGTTTTGAACAAATAAATAAATTTCTCAATTTTTTTTTATTTTTTTCATCTTTGACATTTAAGGAATCATCATGTGAATTTTGGTGCCACAGCATGATGATCTGCGGTTTTTATAGCCCATAAAATTTAGCCAATTTTGGCATTTTTATAATAACCTCGCCCCGAATTTATATAGTAATTTTCTGTCGTTCGTAGGCGGATCGGCTCTTAAACTAATTAGAAAAACGTTGCGCAAACGTTTTTTCTAATTAAATATAATAAGAAAAAATGTTTTGCAACGTTTTTTCTTTAAACTAATTAGAAAAACGTTGCGCAAACGTTTTTTCTAATTAAATATGATAAGAAAAAATGTTTTGCAACATTTTTTCTTTAAACTAATTAGAAAAATGTTGCGCAAACATTTTTTCTAATTAAATATGATAAGAAAAACGTTTTGCAACGTTTTTTCTTTAAACTAATTAGAAAACCATTGCGCAAACATTTTTTTTAATAAATATACTTAGAAAAAATGTTGCGCAACATTTTTTCTTTAAATTAATTAAAAAAATGTTGCGCAACATTTTTTCTTTAAATTAATTAAAAAAACGTTGCGCAAACGTTTTTTTTATAATAATATGTTAAAAAAAATGTTATGCAACGTTTTTTTATTTAATAATTAAATAATCGCAACAGTTTTAATATAAACCATTGCGAAAATATTTATCAGTCCGGTCTGGTTCCAACCCGTTTTTTCAGTTCAGGCTAGATTTATAATCCGAAACTGGACCGGACCAGACCAAATATTTTGGTCCGGGTTGAAGCATCAACCCAGACTAGACCAATCTGAATTTTTGGTCCAGGTTGTCGGATTAGGACCGACCCGATTAGAGCTTTAATAATATGCGTAGCAGGGTATTAAATTATTAATAGTCAGATATATATTTGCATAGCAAGATAGATTTTTTTAATATATATAATATAATATATATTTTACATTTTTCACATTAAAAAAATCTAATAAAATATGTAAACAAAGTTATAAACATGTTTGTGTAAAAGAAATTTACTATTTTTAATACAAAGATTAAGTTAATTGTATATATGATACAGGGACCATTTTTAGACGTGATTGTGTAACATGTATTTGATAAAACAAATACGCGTCTATGTAACATTAAAAATATAAATCATATATACGTCCATGTAACATTTTAAAAATATATATTCAGAATGAGAGCAACGGGTGGGTGGGAAGGGAAAAATAAGTATTTTTCTGATTTTTTATAATTTTACACTATAATTTTTGTAATAATCAAAAAAAGTTATTTCATTTTTACTTAGAAAATTCTTTAAAAATAATTTTTTTGTAAAAATTTCGCGTATTGGTGGCATTACGAAAAACATAAATAAATCCATAAATATATATTCAATTATGATAAAAATTTATATGTAAGTAGATTCGAACCTGCTGAACAACTTTACTTAAGAAGATTTTAGATGTTTTCTTTGACTAAAGTGCCTAAATTACGCTCTGAAGTCACAGAACAGATATATGAAAATATTAATAAGAAACATTTATAAGTTGTAATATTACAAAAAAATAATAATAGCTTTATCCATGCATTAATATTTCAAAAATTTTTGTTTTTTTAGTTTTTTTTTATATACATATTTTATAAAAAAATTATATATTAATATATATATATTATAAAATAAGTTGCTTAGCAATGTAAAAAATTTATGGGTTAGATAAAAGTTTGCTTAGTAGACATGAAAAATATTTGCTTATTGACCATATTTCTAGCTTCAGGTCAGCTTTAATAGTGACCCAATAGGGGATGTTCTCATATATAGTGCTGTTACCTAAGGAATTAAGTACTCGGTTTAATGGTTACTCTTGGGAATAATAGGATACTGGCACAAGATGACCCATAAGACTGACCATAAAAATACTGCAAAGTAAAAGAATAAAACTACCACCATTTAATTCGATTCAGTGAGACAATTCTAATAAGCTATGGTACATCTTTATATGATTATTAGATGCCAAGTTATTTAATATATTTTTTATATAACTGTGATTATAAATGGTTCTTTTAATATAAAATTTTTGAGGATAAATCTATAGATAGATTGTGACTATATAGTAGCAGGGACGATGATTTTTTGTGATCACAGAATTTCACAGAAAATCACAAAATTTGGCTATAAAATGTTGATAATTTTCAAGTTTTTGGCCTGATTTAGGATTTGAAATTATTATAATTCCGGCAGACACTAAATTTGGCCAGAATTTATGAATCGTAATGTTGGCCAACCTTGCATAATTCTGGCCAAATCACAAAATTTCACAAAATTTACTTTTATCACACACAAAATTTACTTTATACCGCCGCAAAAAATCATCGTCCCTGTATAGTAGTGATCCCAGGCGAAACCGAAATATTTAGTCATGTGATGAAACTGAAATTATTTCATCAATGCATTTCAAATTACGAAATTCTGAAATATTTCGTTACATGACTAAACCGAAATTATAACTAAACTGAAAAATATATTTTTAGTTTTTTTTTTATTTTACAAATAAATCGACATGTTTTCAAACACAATTTAGTAAAATTTATTAAATATTATACATACAATATGATAAAATATTAACAAATAAACACAGCTTTATAACAATATTATTATATTATACACTATAAAATAATCACTCATTTAGTACAAGGCATCTCTCACGATACCATAATCTTTTATCCTATATGAATAAAATTGTACCAATCCTTTTATAGATTTCTATATACTGACACAATGCATTCCATATCTAACTTATCAAACTTACCATCCTTCATAAATCAACTAATCCATCAAATCTAACTATAATCTTTACAAGTCACAATTTTGGCTCTCGACATAC